GCCGCCTGCAGCGTCGCTGACGACGCTGGCTCGTCGGCGGCGTCGTTAGTATCACCGCGGGCCGGGGAGCTCCCCGCCGCCGGCCCGACTAATTCAAATTCTCCCCCGTTATGAGTCACGGAGGCGGTGCGGCGCGTCGGCCTGTATTGATCAGAGGGGGCCCGGACGGACGGGCGGATGGACGGACCGGGCTGACCGGCACGGCCACTTCCTGACCGGCCCACAGGGACAGGCCGCCGCTCGGGATTTGAGGCGAGTGGCTCATCGGTATGGTGTCGCTGGCTTTCTCGTTGGGATGATATATATACAGCCTTGTATTGAGTTCAGCCTTTTAAGTCTTCAGTTTTCCTGTGTTCTCATGGGTGCCCAATGTTCCCATGGTTGCCTATGTTTTCGGTTGGAGGTTGCATCCGTATGTCTTTCGTGCTTGCTCGTTGAGGTTATCTTCCAGCAGGAACAGGTTTTGAGTGGCTCCCAACTAGGAAGTAGGGATTACTAAACGGTACCGATCGGGCGCGCCCGGTAGTTAGCTGGTGATCTGTAGATTCCAGTGGTGAAGTTCCCACTGGTGATTCCGCCGGTGATTCCTTTGGTGATTCCACTGGCCTCTGGTCATCTGACGACTCTGCCGGTGGTCGGGGGTCTGCGCTGAAGGCCGCTCTCGTGTCCGGCCTCCGGTCCCCGGTGCAGTCCACACCGTCACAACGCGTTATACCCGTCACCTGTGCCGTGTGCACCCTGTGGTGAAATGAGATTAGACTGTGTCCTAACGTTCCGTGACGCACTATCCTGATGTTGAACACCGTGCCCAATCCAGTGTAATCCTTCATGGAAATGGGATGGTTCGGACCGGGTCTGTCGCCACTCGCCGTTTTGTGCAGCCCGTCATGTGTAACCTGCGCGTTATATGCCAACTCGCCAGCGTCCTGCCCCCCGCCGGCCCAGGCTTCGATTGGGATGTACGGCTGCGTGCCGGCCGCAACTTACGAGGCAGGCGGCGACGTCTAGACGTCGGCAATCGTATTTACGTCGTGTCGTACGAAATCGAGCTGTCTCGCAGGGAACTGAGCCGGCCGGCGCGTGCTCGGAACACGGGCGCCGCGGGATCGATGGGCCAGACACACTGACGGGCAGGGCCCCCTTTTGGAGACAGTTGTGACCACTGGTGCTGTCGGGCCCGCGGATCGCCGCCGCCGGTCCGATGCGCTACAAAGCTATCGCACGTGCCCAGGGAATCGCTCCCAGACTGCGGGCGGGTGATCTGCACAGGTCCTGTGACGGCCGGCGCCCTGATGTCATGTCAGATGGCCATCAGACTCGGTGGGACGGCGGCAGCAGGAGCTGGCGCGATGACTCATACAGATGCGACTCCTCCACACATGGCCTGGTCGGCTGCGGCTGACGGCGGCGGCTGCGCCAGTAGGTACTAAGTCTGTATTAGGAGGGCAGGCGGGCGGACGCGTGACGCCGCGCCGGGGACCGTCGGTCCGGGCCGCCGCGCCAGTCCCGGACACGCAGCTGGCGCCCTGTCGGTGGATACCGCGGCCACCGTGTACCTACCCCAGTGCACCTGCAGAGACGGCCTGAGACGCGTTGGGCGGCCGGCGCGCTCGGCGAGTCGGGCACTGACGCCGACCGACAGCAGGCGCCGCGCGGACGTCGGCTCGGCAGCCCCGAGCGAAAGGAGGGACGCCCAGCTGCATCGAGACCGTCAATGCCACAGATGTGTTATGGTTGTGGCGGCGTCGGATGGCCTGTCATTCACGGCAACTTCACTGGGCTGTTTTCAGAGGCGCGCTGGCTGTCCGGGGGCTCCGGTCCGCGTCTGCTTTTGTAGCGCCTCTCTCCTCGCCCGTCCCAACCAGTCCTGTTGCGTACTCCCGCCCTGTTCGCCGACACGTCATCGCCGGCGCCGGCGTGTCGGCTTCTGTCTGATGTGGGCCGGTCTCGAGTGACTGTTGTGGCCGCCCGGTGGCGCTCGAGTGGCCCCGAGTGGCTGCCGCTCCGTTCAGTAGCTGGGCTGGCGCTGAGTGGCAGCCGACCCGTCCTGGGCCGCTGCCGCCCGTAGCGTGACGTCTCGACTAATGGCCCTGCTTAGCGCCGCGGCCGCCGAATCAACGAGATCGGCGCCGTGTCGCGCGATTATGAGTGTCGTCGGTAATTAATTATCGAACTACAGCGTCCTGTCGGCCGGCCCGTCCGTCAACGTCTCTGCTCCAGGGTGGCCCTGGCTGAGACTACCATGCAACGTCAGTGGGGACGCACCGTTTGCCCCCGTCGCTGCTGCTGCCCGCGTGCTGACGGTCGGAGGACCAGAAATTGAGGATGGATTTCCTGGGTCTTTGGTCGTGTTAGCCACAAAACTCATTTGTGATTAATGTGTTGTGTGTATGCATATAGGATCGCTCGACGAAGTGTTTTATCTATCGCGGGCCGTTTTTTTGTGAACACATCCACGTAAGTACTCATATCATTTTTTCACTCACTTTGACATGTAATCATGCGGCCATGTGGGGCGTTTATCGGCGCACCTGGGCCGTTGTCATCCCCACAAAGTTGTACGATACAACGCACCGCGCTGGTATCGATCTCCACCGACCGGCGCCGGTCCTCCGCGAGGGGCACTGTTCTCTGTTTCACCGGACCCCGTCTAACGGGACCTCGCGCCATTTTTCAACCCGAGCGCCATCGATCACGGCTGGCGGCAGCGCCGCGGGGGAGAGGGCAGCTGCCGCCCCCGCCCCCGCCAGCTGGGGCGCGTCATCGCCGTCAACGGTTCCGTCACCCGGCGTCATCCGCCCTTCCCCCGACCCCCATTCTGGCCGGCTCTTGGCCGGCGTCGGGCTTTGTTCTCGGCGCCGGCTATGTCAACGGACGCCCGTCGATGGCCTCAATGCCCTGTATCCCCGCTCTGCGCCCCCCCCGGCATGTTGAGCCCGGTAACCTATCGGCACATCCACCCGCATCGTCCCCGGTTGATCTCGCGTACTTTTACCGCGCCGTCTTTTTCGAAAATCGCTGTTCCGACGGACAGCTGCCGGGCAGCTAAAGGGTGACATTGGCTCTCAGTTAACGACAGAAGGATGTGTTGGTTCTCGTCACCTCCACAAAGATGTAACGATTTGGGTTGATGGGCGAACAGGGCAGTCGTGCAGAGCAGCCAGCCTCGAGCGGCGCTGAGCACACGCTGACCCGCCGTCCGCCCGGTACGGTCGGTCCGTCACAGGCCGTCCGTCCGCTGGCGCCGCATCACGCCACATAGCCGCTCAAAGAGACTGCCGCCGCCAAGTCCGACCGACCAACGACAGCATTGAGCGATTTCCTTTTTTTTTGGTTAACTGCGTCTCTCGTGGCCGATTTTTTTTTGTATCGTGCTCCAGGGGTAGTGTACTGTGGCGACCACATGCACGCTGTTTTATATTTCCTGTGATCTAAACGAAAAGGACAATCCGATGTGCATGATCCAGCATACATGTCATTAGTCTCCGGTGGCGGCTCGCCCGAGTTTCCAGTTGTCCTGCGTCCACCGTAGCGGACGGGGAGCAGCCGCCTCAGTGTCGGCGCAGGAATGCCGCGGGAAAACAGCCGGCCACTGTCCGGCCGGAAACGCTCTGAGCCGGCCCGCACTGTTTATCGGGCCGCCCATCCACCTCTCCGGCGCCGGTCCGTCCGGTCGCGGATCTGATCGGCCCTGCCTGCACCTGACGGCGCCGGCGGTGGGCGGAATGCGACCGATGTGTGTGACCGCGCGCCGGCCTGAGGAGAGTCTCCCGCATCGGCGGTTCGGCTAATGCAGCCACTCGGCGGCGCTGGGGATCCTGCGACAAGCTCCAGCTCCGAGTGGAATTCATAGCGGCGAGCTAGCCAGGTAGTCCAGAGAGTAATTGACTGATTTCGCTTTACCGAGACAAATAACAGTTGTGCACTGAGCCATTCAGTGCAGTGCAGTGCAGTGCAGTGCAGTGCCTCGCTGAAAATTACTGGGCTGAATGGATCCGTCGTGGTTGCGCTAGTCCAGCAGCCATCCGGCAGCCTGTCGATGCGAAGCGCCTCGGTGGTGACCGGCCGGGCGATACCGCAGCCCGACTCTCCGCTCCGCGGAGCCGGTGTGCGCCGTCAAAACAATCCCACCCGCAATCCGGATTACCCGAGGTGGGCCGGCCGGGTCGGTACCGGGACAGAGCAGACGCGGGCCGGCCGGGTCGGGACCGGGGCAGCAGGCCGGGTCGGGACCGGGGCAGAGCAGACACGGGCCGGCCGGGTCGGGACCGGGGCAGGAGGCCGGGTCGGGATCGGGGCAGAGCAGACACGGTCCGGCCGGCACCAGCAGGGCGGTGATCGTATTTGTCACTTGTTCGTCATCATTTCTACGATGAAGCTCTGGCCACGGGGCTGGAGGATCGCTCTGATATTTCGCCCCCTGGACATGAGCACTGGGCACCCACTACAATGCCCCCGTTCCCTTTGTTTCATTGCCGTAACTAAGGGTGACCCTGGAGCCGTCAGCATGGGGGCCGGCGTGACCTTCCGTGACCCGGCTCCCATTGAGGAGGGCTGACCCGGGACCGGGTCGACCTTGCGCCAGTGATTAATTCCGGCATTGTTTGTCAGCACCGGTAGCACGCGATGCCTTTGTTTCGTTTGCAGCGACGCCGTGTGACCCATGCGGCAGCCGGGCCCCACCTGTGTGACATCCTGTCAGAAATTGCCGGTGGCGTCCGTCTCGGCATACACCGCACGGGACTGCCCTGACCGACCGACGCGTGTCCCACGACCTTTTATCGATCACAGTCCATGGTCCTGGCTTCAATGGAATCGAGCTGGTATACGTGCCCTCTTACGCTACAGTCACGCATGTCACGCTGTAAGTCACACTACAGATTCTTGTCATACCTTCCGTCATGTTTCGCCATTCGATCGCTATAGCCTGCAGCGGCGCACGTCTCCGGTCCGCCGTGTCAACTCTCACATCTGACGTGTTTTCGTCCGTCCTGTTGCAGACTAGCCGCTGTCATGGGTCTGAAGCAGAGCAAGCGCTCGTTCGAGGTGACCACCGGCTCGCCCAAGAAGGACGCCGTCTCCGCAGAGCCGAAGGCCGAGGTTATTGAGAACAAGGAGGCGACAGCGCCCTCAAACGGCGACGCCAAGCCCGCCGCACAGACCAACGGCGCGGTGAGTGGCGCCGGCCGGCCGGGCCCGGGCCGGACAGGTCACCGGGGTCACGCCGGAGGAGGGGGTGATGGTGACTTTCTGTGCGTTAGTCAAGATGACCTTCCATGACCTTTAGGGTCTCAATTCTTTTGTATGAAAGATCGAGTGCCACTCCTACGAAATGTACAAGTTGTGGACTCCCAGATTATTTTTTGACAGTCGCTGGTACCGTTCGGCCGTGGCGTCCAGTTTACAATTGCCTTTGGTGGTGCGTAATAACTAATAAGATCGGCAGATCTCAACAGGCGATAGTTGGGTCAAATACATATATGATGACAAATGCACATAGATTAGTCGGAGAGCCTTGACCCATGGCGGGGAGGGGTGGGGGTGGGGTGGGAGGCGTGGGCTTTCGCTAAAGAGCCGACAGTATGATAATAAACGGACGTCGGCCAGCCGGACGCGGGCCGCCGCCAGTGTCCGCCGAGCTTTGTCCGCCGGCCGACCTGGCGGCGGACTCCATCCGGCTGCCGAGGTCTTGTGCAACCGCGCTGTCGTGAACTGCGTGCCCGCTGTCGTGATCTGCGCGCTCGGCTTACGCAACACCTGGGCGGCGTACCGGCGCGGCGCGGGGCCAACAGAGGCAGTCCGCTTCCCGCAGTGAAGCGGCACAACGCTCGCCCCCGCAGGGGGCTGGCCGAGGCCGACTTTCCGTAGGGTTACAATCTGACAAAGCGATGCACGCAATAATGCTGTTTCGTAAAGCAATGTTGAAAACTAGCGGCTTTATGATTTACGAGGGGCATTTATGGCCGAAAAGTGCATCTAAACGACCTACGATAACTCCACGTGCCTTGAGCTCATATCCGACTTGGAAATCCGTCTTTTGGCTCCTCGAAAATATTTAATCTGTCGTTTTCTGACGAGCATGCCCTTTCGGGAGCGACGCCTCTTGAACCGGCTTCCAACAACCCGCCCCAGGGCCCATCTGATTTAGATCTCGGTGACCCGTTCCTTTCGATTTACATTTGCTGATTCCTTCGGGAAATATAAAAAAGGTGATTGCATTGAAGAGTGGTATGCCAGACTGTTTGTCCGATAAACGAGCAATGTCACCAACTGTTGGGCTCCGCTCCAGCGGCTGCGTAAAAGATTAGGGGAAGTTGGGGCAATGCCGGAGTTGGGGCAAAGCCGAAATTCGAGATATTTCGAAAACCGTACGACATGGATGCTACCTGTCAGTGATGCTCTGAAGCTTAAGTGACTACCAATTATCGCATGTTTGTTACCAGTCGTCATTCGGAATACTTCGGCTGTGAGGGCGCCAAGAGCGTTTTCAAGGTACGTTTCCTTTGTACTACATGCGTCTTCGAAGCTGCATTTCCTACTCATTATGCTACCGTTTGTCTGGCCAATTCGGTCAAGTAATCTTCAGCACGTCTTTGCATAAGTGTGCTGCCTATTTGAAATTTATACAGCACGTTGAAAAGTTATGGGCCTGCAAATGAAAGTATGGCTGGCTGGGGTAATGCCGAAAACGTGCAATTACGCGCGTTAAAGCACGCTACGTGAACTTTACCGCTGTAGAATAGCAACGCGTATTTTTAGTCACACAAATTACACTTTTAACCGACACAACGGCCTGTTACCATAAGGAATGATTTACCTGGCCTTTTCTTATTATATCACACAATTATAACTTCCAGTGTGCACCAAGCGTCCTCAAGCTCTTAAAACGCGTGGCAGCTTTGAAGAATTCTGGATAAAATTTGAGATAAAATATCAAAACATCAATTTCGGCATTCCCGTAGATCATTTCTCCCATTTTCGGCTTTCCCCGCAGTCCGGGGCAACGCCGAAAAAGTCACTTCTTTGATATTTTTAGTTTGTGCGCTTAACGGTATGCGAATTCATCAAATGCGCCTGGTATGTTTGAAAGGCAAAAGACTGGCCTCTCGAATGACGCCAACAAGAATAGCTTATGTTGTCTACCTTGCGTGCTACGGGCGTCAGAAAAAAAGTATTCGGCGATCCACCAACTTCCCCTATTGAACGTTCATTCATGCTTGTTTTGCGATTACCTCAATAGATAAATAATTTGATTATGAGTTATAATGGGAACTAGTAACGACCCTGTCCCTTTTTATTGGAGGACTGTCGGTTTTAGGTCATTTGATACACCCAGCCGAGCGCTGCGGATGGCTGGCGGCATTCACCGGCCGGAACTCCGGCCTAGCCTATTATTTCAATTAGTCACAGTCGCTGGAGGCATTGAGCGGCCGCCTGTTCTGTAGCGCAAAAGGTGACTCGCTGTGAGCCTGCAGTCCTATAGTATCAGAGAGGCATCGCGCGGGAGGAGCAGCCCAGGCAGCGAAGCTGCTCCTCTACCCTCAAAGCGCGGGGCGGGCAGCTGCTGACAGACAGTCATCTTATGGCTTATGCCCCCAAGTACCAGGCGAAAGCGTCGCTGCGCACTGCACAGTCCACACTGTCTTGCCAATATGCTCCTCTTGTTTTATTCTTCCAGTGAAACGTCGTGTAGTCCTTTTTCAAACCAGCCTGCTTACCGTGATACAGTCGCTTTATTTACATTTTGACCGTAAAACTATCACCCCGAACTCCAATACGCCAACAAGAATCAATGAATGACCTTGCCAAGTAGGTAGGTACCTAGGTATACCGAACAAAGCGATGGTTGAAGTCGGAATTGCTGGACGCTCGACGGTAGCCCGGCACTCCGACCACTGTTGAGTCAGTCGTACTCTACATACACTGAAAGGCCGCAGTAGTAGTTACAACTTGCATCCATGTTGTAGATTGCATTTCTGACAGCATTCTTCGGCTTTGTGTTATTGTTTCTATCAAGATCGCGTTGAACCTGTTATGCTCATCATCAGGAAGATAGGGAACTACTCGTTCTGTGTCATACAAAGTTCAGGCATCAATGATCGCTGCGTTAACCCGCGCCCCACTGGGGTCTGCGTATAACACGCCCTACTGGGGGGGGGGGGGGGGCTATTCATAGCCCCCCCTCCTAACTCCGAAACTACTGGGCCGATCGTCAAAATTCAAACGGCGTCTGATAGCCCGGAAAAACTGTCGAGCGAAACCTAATTTCATTGACCTTGAGGTCACCGATGACGTCACAGGTCAGGTCAAAGTAAAAATTATTAGCATTTTGCTTGTTCGCGTTTTGGCTCTGGCCGCCGTCTTACAAGTCAGATCAGGCTCATTTTTGGTTCACACACTCGTGAACAGATGCTCTAGATACCCGGAGGGTACCAAACTTGTACTTTGATTTTCAGGTCAAGGTCAGGTCATCACAGGTCACGAAAATATTATATCATGCGTCGGTCACGGGACACATGTTTTATGGTCCATTTAGGCCAAACATTTCGAATTTGATGTCGTCTGTGTCATTCGAGGTCATTTTGAGTCGAATTTAGCTTAGGTCAGGTCACTTTCAGGTCAAAGAAGGTCAAATCTTGAAGTTATAATTTTTCAACAGAAAAGGTGTCTATTGGATGCAGTTTGAGCTCAGGAACACGATGGTGCTATTTATATTGGTGTACGATGTCAAATAGGTACGTGGTGAAAAATTGATTTGAAAAATTAATAATTGTGAATTTTTTGCAATAATGCGTATAACTTGGCCATTTTTGAAAATATTTAGCTAAAACTTGCTAAGGTTAGTCATAATAACGCGTTCTATCACATATATTCCGGTTTTTTCGAAAAGTCAAAAACTTTTTGAAAAAAATGTAAAAATGTAAATTTTGAATTTTATTTTATAAAATTTTCGAAATTTTCAAAATTTCGAAAATCCGAGATAGCAGTTTGATAGCACAGTCTATTCTGAGTCCTGTCATGCAAAGAAATTGGATCTAGCCTAAAAACTGAGCCCTTGGGAGCGATTGCCGTGGTTCAATGTTTTGCGTCGAAATCGGTCGAACATGACGTCACTCTGATGTCATTTCCGGCCGACCTATGATAGGTACGAAGTTCAAATTTTGACACAAGGTGTCAAATTGATGCAGCCGAAGGTACTGAAAGTTTGGCGTCGATACGTCAAGCGGTTTGGAAGTTATTGCAGAAAAACGGGAGGGGGCTATAAATAGCCCCCCCAGTGGGGCGCGGGTTAAAGGGACCCTCCCACCTTCAAAAAAGTTTATGAATTGGCATGAAAGTGATGTCGCTCGGTTCAGAAAGAGCGAAAACGAATATCTACCAAATTTCACCGAAAAATATTCACCGGTTTTCAAGATATTAGACTTTTTCGTTTGTTTACATTTTGGGATCTCCGCTGTTCCTAGCGACTTTATTTGGAAGCAATAGTTTGGCAGCTGAAAGTGCGGCACTTGTTGCGCGCAAAGTAGCATATACCACCGCGTGCTACAAAACGTTTTAGTCAAACATTTAAAAATCGTTAGATATCTGCGCTGACGTCACACATTCAGAGGGGTATTCCTATGCATTAGCCCCTCTGAATCAAAATGCTGCAATTTTGAAATTCAATATTTCCGATTTAAGGCATTGCTCGATGTTGTGAGTGCCGAAACCGGTAATTGTGAGCCAGGGACCCCATTTTGGCTATCTCAACTCAAATCTAATGTTAAGGTGGGAGGGTCCCTTTAAGTCCATCCTTCACTGACTGCGGCGACAAGTTTGGAGATCCTCTTTCTGCCTTGCCAGACTTCGCATGACAACCAAAGCGAGTTATCCTTTAATCGACCTGAACCATTATGATGCATACAGTTGAAAGGTCTTCAGTGTTTTGCAAATATTTGTTTAAAGGGACCCTCCCACCTTCAAAAAAGTTAATGAATTGGCATAAAAGTGATGTAGCGTGAATCACAAAGAGCGAAAATGAACATCTACCAAATTTTACCGGAAAATATTCACCCGTTTTCGAGATATAAGACTTTTATTTTTGTTTACTTTTAGGGAAATCCGCTGTTTCTATGACGTCACATAAAGGTTTTCTTTACGTCGGCATTTGGAAGCAATAGTTTGGTATCAAA